AATTCTTCAAAGCGTTATTTAGGTGTCGCTAATAGAGCAACCTCCGTTAGAAGTGCGAAAACGAGTGATACTTTTGTAGCCGTGTTATGCTTACAGCTACGTTCTCAGTATTGCTCTCGAGGTCGACGTGTCATGGCTTGGAGGCACCCGTGCTCCACCATTTGATTACAGGTATGTGTTCTCCAACACGTACTGAGAAGTTCACGAAGTTTGCAACTGGGCATGCGCACTGTTTTAAGTAGTCTAAGCATCTTTCGTTTACGAGTGGGACTCATCTTTCTCTTAGTTGAAAGCCGTCAGAGTCATTTACTGTACCTTGTCCCGTCTCAACCCTACCAAATGGATGACAAATTCCAATGACACTACGTCCAGGTGGTTTTGGAGGCTCACCAGCGTATCAGAGATTTCCAGGTCTATCACTTCCTTTTAGAGGAAACTGATTTCAGCTAGCTAGTACAACGCTATGAGAACAGTTGTCAATGGGCCGGCCACAGTGTCGAATCTGTATTTTACGAGCTATCAATTAACAACAAAAATTCTAGCTAGAAGGCCCTATGCAGCGAAATGAGAAAGAAAAAAAGCGTGCACATTAAAATCAAGAGATATGGTGCGAAACGTAGAGTGGTGTACATATCGAAATCAATGCACGAGGCTGTGGAAAGTTAACCTAGCTTTTAAAATTTATAGCTGTAAGACGTAGACGCAAAACAGAGAAAGAATCTTTGATGCACTGCTCGCCACTTTGTAGTCCTTGCTGAAAACCACGAAAGCAGTCGCACTGCTATCTCAGGATTCCGGTGTAAAGGAAGCTGAACTATCTCATTTTAACTGAAAATGTCACTGAGGACGAAAGACGATATATCCTCAACACTCAGTCAAGCCAAGAGCCAGTTTTCAATGACAAACCTTGACTGCGCTCAAGCATCACTTTCCGCATCCAGTTTTTCGTTTCAGTTTTTTTCCTGTACAATTTTCTTCGCCGTTAGAATATGCTACTGATATCATTCCCAAAAAGCTGGAACATCCGTTGTTTATGTTGTTTTTGGACTTGGCTTCATGGTGAGCACAAAAGTGAATATTTTCGAATGAGCATTGATGCCACAGTGTATTGTTGATTCAACTTATTTAGACTACGCAGTCTTCTTCATACATTGAGAGCTGGATATCTCGTTGTTATAATTGATTCTTGTGTCGTGTATCTTGTTCTAAGTTAAATGGATTGTGCATCCTTCCAATTGTGTCTTCATTCAGATATAACTCTGTTTGCATGCAGATCACGTAATTTTCTCCCTTTGTGCTTCTTGAACCCATTCCACCAATAACGATCTCTACTTAATGGTAGGTATTTGAAAAATGGTACCGAGCGGCACATATATTAAGAAGAAGAGTAAGAATTTTTGTGTGAAACTGGAGATCCAATTTTTTGTGAGATGATAAGAACTAGCACATATTTAGAGACGTTCGTTAGTACCTTCGAAGATGCTTCCATATTTGTATTTTCCTTATATGTATTTTTGCGGCTTTTGTTTCACTATACTAGAGGAGTACTCTCAGTGATTTATCGCCTTATTGGCTTGGGTAGTGTTCCTGGGTGTCGCACTGCGATGTACAACGGAGGGATTCATCTCTCTGGCAGGACATCCCAAGCTGAGAAGAAGTCCGGCGTTTCCATCAGAAAAACCGGATAAGAGTAAACCAATACCAGGTTCCGTCACCGTTTCATTACCAAACTAGTTGCACGGTGGCGAATCTCCCTTTGATTCAAAACGGTGGCGACTGCCAGTGATGTTGCCGACCTGGGGCAGACTTTGGCCTGGCTGACCTCGGGACAACAGGGAACCACAATGGCTAAACCAGTAAAACTCCGAAAAAATAGAGATTATGCTGGGGTCCGCACAACCGTCGAAGTATCCAAGTATAATAGACTACTAGTCAACAATATCAAATTCTAATGATGCGAACTTGACACATTCCATGATAACTTAAGAAACGTTTTGTAAATTTTTGGCGAATGATTTCGATCAAAGGATGGATGCGACGCAAAAGTTTGAGCACAGAACGGCCAAATTTTCGGTAACGACTTCGTAACTATCTTATCTTCGTATCTTAACTCTTTTATTTACTGCCTTTTTCTTCTTAATGACAAGGTATGTTGTGAAATATAACTCGTATGAAGTGCTGAGATATTTGCAAAACTCCGGACCACAGGTGTATGCAGTGGATAACGAACACGTGCTGTTGTCCTTACCGAGGAGCAGCGCACTTCACCACTACACCATCCGGGTCTTCGTTACTGTACTAACAGTTGGCTAGAGCTGTTCTGTTTAGCCAGCTATTAATCCTTACTCGTTCACTGCTAAAAGGAGTAAATAGTGCAACATTTTGGCATTTCCGAACCTTCCTCGCTTTCATTGATAGTCATAGCCAGGACAGGTGATGGTGCCAAAACGCAACTCTACCGATCTAATAGCGTTTTTGCCACCATGCTGATCATTTTATAAGCACATTGCGGCGGATGCGAACTCATATCACCTTTGGATTGGTAAATTAATGAATACACCGTTTGTGAAAGAAAGAGCGCATCGGATAATGTTGGCAGCTCATTATAGAAGCCAAATCAATAGTCATTTACTAAGAGAGTTTATAGATGTCGCAAAAATACGAGATTAAAATGTTTAATCAGCTTCTAGATATAAGCTTTGCAAAAAACCTTCGATACCACAAGAAGAGAGGGTAATAAAAGCGAAAATTTTAAAGGCCATCCATGGTAGCACAGTCGATATTTATTTACACATATTCCTCCGACAGTAATGACATTATCAAAAAGGCCACTAAATTTCTGCTTCGTTCAACAGCCTAGGAACAGCCTAATTCTCCACGATTCCACTACTTCCACTATAGCCCGAATCAACGAGGCTTTCGAGGCTGTCCGCGGAAGCGAAGGAAGGCTCTTGAGCTGTGACTTCCTCAGGCCATCCCTGTGGTATAAGGTATAATTGTCGGTGTAAATTGCACAAAGAAATAAGATGTTAGATTGGAGAGGTATACCTCATCAACGTGACTGGAATCAGCGTTATCTACACGCCACCATACACCGGCGATATTTTCAGAGTTCTGCTTTTCGCTGTTCTTATCCAGCGATGGTTCCGAAACAGCCTGTCTGACAGAACAACCCAAGAGGAGGTAGTTCGCTCCACTTGCTTTCTCTAAATTATCACTGTCTAAGGAATCTTTTTTAACCATAAACTATTCACAACAACTTTTCACTACAATAAAGTATCTTCTTAAAAAATCATTTCAAGAGAGAAAAACACCAACTGATCAGAGACGAGTCAGAAGACCATCTTCTTATTTTGAACGAGCGGTTCTAAAAACACGCAAGATCATGTCTTTACGCATTCCATTGTTTTTGACCAATATCAACGATAACTACGATTTAGTAGTGCGATGCCAGGAAGCGGCGATTGCTTAGTGGTGTATAGTCTATTCGCACCAGAGTGTGCCTATCGTCACGCCCATTGCGAATCCTATATTGTGAGAAAAATTAAACAAGAAGGACTTAGACACCATGAAGCACAGCTGAAGCTGTCCATTCCGAATGAAAATCCAATAATGTATTCGTTTATTATACAGAAGCAAAGCTAAACTCTTCTAATTGCTCCAAACATCCCAGCAAAACGACAAACTCATTTTGGAAGGAATACGTTCACATGAGTAGACTTCGATTTATTGCAGCCGAACTACGACGATCTAGTGAAGGATGTTGATGTGCCGTCTCTGCTTGATGCACGTCGAAACAGCTCTTAGAGTTACCATTATACTGCAACGCTAATGAAGTATTCGGCGAAAATTTTACTTATGGCAACAGATCTTCCGGCTTTTTATTAAGAAGCGAAAACCTCTTAGTGTTCTCTTTTTCATCAAGACGTTCACTACGTGATTGAAGCCTCGGAGAAAACGCGGCACCTGTGTGGCTGGTCGATGTTCCCGGTGGATATTCTACAGCTGCTAACACGTCCAACAAATTTTTCTTAGGAAAAACACGAAAATATTGGAATTTTCTTCTTCGGTATTTGGAGAGCTAGCATTATGGCTTTTATCTCCTCTGGCATCCTCTCTCTACGCAATTGCTGAGGTTCAAAACCTTCTGGTTAACGTCTGCTCAGACAAATTGATAATCCGAGGAACCAGTAAGCATGGTCGGAATCAGATCCAGCTTAATCCACTTTTTTGTCTTCTTAAAACACTTTCATTCTCTGAAATACACGAAAAATGGAAACTTACTAGCGCTGTCTCGAATCACGCCATTAATGACGACATTGCAGGTAATTTTTTACTTTTTATTTTATTTTATATGACACTTTATTTATGAAGTTTTTACAAAATTAGCTGCAACTTTCAATACTTTCTGAAGACATCACCTATTACGAACGTTCCCACAGAGCTCATGCCGTACGACGACGAAGAATCCATATCGAGGAAACGAACAACTGCAAACCAACGATTCGCATTACCGGCCATGATGAAGACAAAAACTTAGAGACGTAAGACAAATAATTCTCTTTACGAAACTCGTCTTAGTTTAATAATCCAAGAACGTTATTGACATGCCAAAAGTTTTTAGTGGGCAGTATTCTCAGTGAATACTGCTCGTTAAAAACGAGGCAGGAATAGTGCAGTGACTAGTGATACAGTCGATATGGAAGCAAAGGAGCTCGTTCGAGCCCCATCCCAAAACCTACAATCCACGAGGGAATGTCTCAGCCTGGTTGTCTCCAAGAACTCAAGCAGATTTGACATCATCACCATTCTACGACTTTCATGAAGAAAACAAAGCAGTTAAAATAAGAAGAAAAATGCTCGAAGACCATTGTAGAAGATGAGTGTTAGGAAAACGATTCGAATGCGAGAAGTGCTCGGATCCGCGCAGCAGATTGGATGACTGGCCATGTAAAATAAAAAAAAATTTCTCACTGAAACCATACTCTGCGGACGACGCACACCGTAGACGTGGTTCAATTCTGTCGGAAGTGTAACACCTGTTTATTGCTCGAATGCTTACGGATTATGGAATAACATTTTAATAATAAGTTGAAAACGAATACTATTCTATATTTATTTCTGTAAAATGAAGATTTTGAAGATCTCATACCTTGCAGCCAGTCTTCCTCTCCTGCACAGATGGTGGGGTAGTTTTCGACTCTTTCGAGTTGTCCTCTCTTGAGAGCTGCGAATCCATGAACGCTTTACTTATGAGAGTTTGGTCAACCGTATTTGGTTTGCACACTGTGAAAAATAAACTACGCTCAGGTCAGAATATCAATCTATGATAAGTCACCACATTACTTGTGATAACGGTCTCTTCCAGTCCATGTGGCAATGTCATTGCCCAGCAATCGCCAATATTGTATGGAGAATCATCTCGACCGGTATTCTACGACATTCACGAGGAAGAAGAAATTTTAAAGAAACAACGGAAGCAATGCGCGGAAACATTCGAAGAGCACTGTGGACGATGAAGGCAGGAAGAATGAAGCAAAGTAGGAAGGGGATCCGTGCAGTGGATGTGATGAGGAGTCAAAAAGTTGTAAATTAAATAAAATCACGTGCGATGGTAAGCCATTCATCATTTCTATTTATTTTAAAAGCGACTGTCGTCTAAGCTCGGTATTAAAAAATTAACATTTGTTTATATTGTTGAGCTTACACAAGGTTGATACGAGATGTTTATTCGGCTAACGTTTCAACGTCTTCTTCCTCATCAGAGCCGACGATCCTTGTCGATGGTCCACAGTTGTTCTTCTTTCCGACGTGGCGTCTTCGTCTTCCATCGAACCGGATCCTCCAGGCTCTTCAAATTTACTTAGAATGCGTCAGCAGTTCTACTCGTCGATGTTCTTGGTTGCTGCTCAAGGATCATGGCTACCACTTCGAAATCATCACCGCTTTGCCTCTGTGCCCTATGTGTACCTAGAAAATCACTTTGCCGAGTTTTCACCTTTCAGTCTTTTTATGTCATCATACTTTCGAGACTAGATCTTTTCATTTTCATAGGCACGTTGTTGGTACACTCTAAAAATCGTACAAATCAATTTTAATGCGAGCGCGCTTTTCTGGTGTATTCCGCCGCACAGAGCTGTTTTCCATGACCTCTCGTAATCATTGTATGTCTTATCGAACACAGATTTTCTACTGAGATTAAGCCGAAGATAGGAGTCTACAGTTCGATATTAAAGCGCAGAGCATTTTCGGATGAGCCACCATTAAACCAACGACACTCAGTAATTTTAAATTGAAACCAAACACTTTCCTACGCGCCCATAGAACAGAGGAACATGACAGAGAAGATTTTGAATCAAAATTCACTGAACTCGAACAGGACTGGTTTCCTTCTATGCTGCTTCCATAGTCTCGTTTGCCTGTAGCAATTTAGATTTTTTTGCAAGGCCCTTCTGCAACTGGCATTTAGTATTAGCCACGTTAAACGTGTTAGGATAACGCTTTAGCTTCCTTCTTTTCTTCAGCAACTCCTATGTGGTGATAGGGATGCGATCCGATCATTTTTCTAGAGGAACTGAGATAAATACGGCACCGCTTTTAATTCCTTCTACAAGCAGCTCGTAATCTTCGGACGGGTTTTCTTTAATCTGCAACTTACGTTTAATTAGGATTTCGTGCAGTGTGTTCTCGTCATATACAGCTAGACTTTTTCTTCGTGGTCGATGACATGAAACTATTTCCAGCTTGCAGCTGAATTAAATTTTCGCGCGAAGAAGATAGTGATCGGAAGCAGTACAGAATGGCGCGACTACCGTCGTGTCAAGGAGACACGAAGGGTGCACCAAATATGCACCATCTTCTGTTTGCCAGAATGTGGTTGGTCTCCGCATGACTCATCCCGCTAGTAGACTCTCATGTCCAGCTGCGGTTTTTTTTTGTTCTGCAAAACGAGTTGCCATGGAAGAGACGTGCAGCAAACAGAGGTTCTGAGATATGGTTTTCATTCTCATTTTCTTCTCCTATTCCGAAATTTACGATTCTGTATTCGCTGTCGCTGGCCTTTCCTATTCTGGCGTTGTAGTCTCCGGTAAGAAATTTTTAAAACGATTTATCGCAGCGGATAGCTTCATGCAACTAGTGATAGGACGCATCTAATCTTTACTCATCAGATGCATCAGTCGTTGAGTAACAGTCGGTGGTAGTGATATTCTCATGTTGAGTTGGTTGAAGACAGAGGATAGCCATGCGAGGGAATAGCACATTGTAGGAGTCGACGAGATGGACAACTGACGAGTGGACGAGCGAAATGCGCCAGGTTTAAATGAAGCAGTCACCTCTCCTTCACATGGATATGCTTTATGGCAAATGTTTAATATCGTTTGCGACTTGTCACTTAACACCAGTGGAATAACTTCTTAGAGGATTGTAGCTGTTAGTAAAGAACGTTTCCATGTGATTAGTGGCAACACGTTTCCACAATTGATCGCTTTTCCGTTTTCGGAACCGAGGTACTTACATATTCGACCCTCACTTTTTCTATCTCCTTTAACAATAATGTTATCTGTCTAATTACAGTTTAAATTTATCGTGATTGGTTTGCAATTGTTTCAGGTTCTGATAGTTGTTATCCGAATCGTCAAAAAGCTATGGGAACATGGTATCTTTCGTGCGGGTCCCAGCAGTACGATCTCCAGCGAATCGATCTCGTTCGAGGTGACTCACGTAATCATCTCTCGACTAAGCCTGAAGAAATTGTCGATTTAGTCAAAAGTAGGAGACTGAAAGCTCTGGGTGCATGTGGGGGTGATGTTGGAATTGTGCATGTGACCCGCCAGTTTCGAAAGGACAGAGGTCTGTGAAGCACTTTCTTCGCAAAGAAACATTATTCGATTTCTTTTCTGAAGTACTCAGCAGTGAGCATGGCTTTCCGGAGGAGTCGCACAAAGATTTCTTCTAAAGTGCTAAGACAGTAGTCACGCTTTCACATCTCACCTATTGCAAATGGCGTACAGGGAGGGAAGAGTTCGTTCACAAAAGAACTCTCTCAAAAGCAAGCCTACTGGTGAAGCAATTTATTCGAGAAGAGTGTTAGATTAGCGGAGATGTAAGTCGTATATAAATAAAGTGTTAGAAAGCTAGTTGGTTTGCTAAGGAAGTTATACTTAGCTCATTTTATCCACCGTTTATTTCCCGACAAATAGGCTTATTAAGACAAACTTTCTTTTCATCCGCTGCTTTTCGAACATAGATCCTTGGGGGAGTGTTGACCTGGAAAGTCTATATCTCCCATTTTGGAGCACAGAAAAACCGTTTTTCGAACTAGTTCACTACCCAGTAACTTGACTGGTCATTGAATGTTATTTCAATTTCAATCACTCTAATGAATGACGATTCAGTCCCACGAGCAGACTGTTATATATGTATATATATGTATATATATATATATATATGTATACGTATATACTTAGATATGCCTACATACATGTGTACATATTTGGGCACGTCTATAAGTACCAGTTTCTAATTTTCTAGGAGCATTTGCAAGAATATTGAGTGGGATTGAAACGAAACTCCTGAAAACTCAAAAACCCGCATGTAAAGATAAGATAGTGGCTTTCGAATCCCGATCAGTCACTAGGTCTATGGGAAGAAAGGTTGCACAACAAGCTGCAGCTGTGGTCGAGAAAAATTCTGACGATCGCAAGGAGCCAACGAACTCTACTAAAAGAGAACCAATCGGAGAGTAGATGATCTCGACTGCGCATCTTCAATATAGTAAACTCTATAGATTTCTTCAAAAATCGAAGTTTCAGCAGCCTATTCCTCAGCTCGTATCCTATCCTAATCAAGACATGGTCTTCCTGAGTTTTTGCTCGGTTTCCTTCCATACTATTCTGACTCTACGGCCTTGATACTGAGGCGGAGTTATTTAATGGGCCATTATCTCGACGCTGACTCAAAATCGGTCAAATGAAATGAAATGAAGAAATTCTTTCGCCTCCTCATCACTTGGTGAATCTGTAACGTCGTCAGATGGTTACTTAGCCATCGACAGCGCTAACTCATTAATATACCGTATACGAACTTAATCATATTGTGCACCATATGCTCCCCTATTCAGCGTCGCGTGTCGTCAACGCGAGCGATGTCTCAGAAGAACAGAATTCCTTCAAAACATGCATGGAGTATGGCGAGTTTAGTCATTGACTGCGGTTTTTACTTGCCACTTATTTACTGATTGCATTTTGACGACTCTTACAGCGAATTATTTTTCCCAGATGGTCTTTCAGCATGCCGGACATACGATTTCTTGGGCAGTGACTGTGTCCATTGGTAAAGATATCATCGATAGTCGTGCGATTAGTGCGCTTAAGTGCATGATCAGTTACAACAAAGCTAGCTTTNTGGACGTTCGAAATATTTCACACTTCCAGGACGTCGAGGAGAAACTGCTGGCAACTTAAGGCCGATGTTTTATCTGTGATAATAAAGCATTCCATCCAAGGGTATTTAATGCCTATTTCCAACGTCCCAAATACTTAAAAACAAGAAAATTCGACATGATAAGTGCTGGGAAGTGTTTCTGGGTGTTCGGTGTATAGCTGGAGGTTCTTCATCCTGGTAAGGTTCGCAAGCTGAAAAGTAGTTCGACGTTTTTCTACGGAAGCCCAGCTAAGAGCAGACCAATACCAGGAATCACTACGGTCTTGGTGTCAGCCTAGTCACATGATGGCAAATCTTCTTCTAATTTACAAGGCAGGAGACTGCATGAGGTGGCGACGACCAGAGAAAGGTTTGCCTAGGAGTACCAGGAAACCGTAGCTAAACCAGCAAAGCTTTAGTCTCAGAACCCCACACAATGGGCGCTCCCTTCTATGACGTCGGGAAGTGGGACAAACCTTGAGAAGTGATCAACCCTCGGCTTGCACAGGACTTAATTGGAAACGGACGAAACGAGCGCTTGCGCGACACATCATGGAGAATACTTTTTGATTTGTACCTATAACGCCAAAACATTTTCCATAAACTAACCGCTTTACTTTCGTGATCTTTCGAGATCTCGTCGGTGTTCGAATCTCCATATTCACGATGATGTCTGAAATAACTACTTGAAAATTATTGTTAGTAGATGTGAAAATAGGTGCAGCGATACCCGTTTGGTACTATATAGATGTCATATAGTGCTGCATCACATGTGGGTGGGAGACCGGTGCCGTGCTCCACTGCATTTCAGAATATTCTAGTCGAGGGCTTAGAAAAATGCCATAACGTTTTTTTGAGTTTAGCCACATTACAAACCATAGAACCGTTTTACTGCTACCGTTCTCCTCCACCGCTTTGTGAAATGGTTAAGTACGGAAGAAAATCAGTTAGAGTCAGATGCCACTCAGCAAACTGGTTCAGTACTGCTTTATAGCGGTAATGACATCTGCTCAGATTTGTTGCTGACGTAGGAAATCCTCGCAAGCAAAAATTTGGAAGGGACGAAATGCATGGTAAATGAAAGCTGTTGTTCAGTGAAAACTGGACACGTTGCAAAAGAAAGTCGAAGCTTTCTCGGAACAGGTAACTGCATTAAATGTACTCGCAGTGAGTCACATTTTAAACGACCCGTTTAGTGGATTTGAAAATAGACAGGCGTTAGAGAGGATTTCTTCTGTTCACAGAATAGTACAACGACGAAAGTTGACAACTACAGTGAACGACTGAAATTTGAACAGGGTTCGTTTTAGTTAAGTTAGAGAGCGTTTCCTTACATTGACTACATAGAGTGACTGTCGAACATTCTATTTAAAGGAAATGATAGTATCACCACGAAAATCCCAATCTG